TAGAACTCTCTGTATATCTGTCTGTCTTTCTGTCCACCGATAGCACAAGGAGCTCCACAAAGAAATCTGTACCTGGTCCACTCTGATTGACAGCCCAACACTGTAGAAATTTGCTGAATGAGAAAATAAATGAATGAAGAAGAAAAGAAAATAAAACATGAGGTCCTTATGGAAGTCTTATGCCACGGACTCAGAGACTTCTGTAAGACAGAACGAGTAACTTTTAAGTTATGAATATAATGTAACTCATTGTAGAGATTTTGGAAAGTCTAGAAAATGAGAACATAAAAATAACCATAACACAAACTCTCAGTGTTAGTCTTTTTGTTTATTCCTTTGATCTTCTATATATATGAGTAGCCTTTAAAAAAAAATTTGGTTCATTATATATATATATATATATATTTCTTTTCCTGTAGTTTGCATTTTTGAGAAAATCACTTAACCATATGTCATGAACATTTCCTCCTAACTGAACATCCTTATAAAACTAAGTATCTACTTAGTGGTTGGATTTATTTTCACCACTGATGGCATCCTGTTCCATATAAAATAATTATAAACTCAAGATTAAGCCTGAAATCACGACAGGAGGAATATTTAGCAGGCTTGCAGGCTACAAAGGGTCTTACGCTGATTGCATAATCCTTCCCTGGCAAATGCCCAGGAAAACACAGCGAGGATGCTAGCCAGAAGCATCGCCTGCCTTGGCCCTTCAGAGTTCAGAGTTATGTTCTTGGCACTTTCACTTTCAACAGTCCTGATCTCTGCAGGTGCCATAAAAAGTCCCTCTTGGCTGCAGAGAAGAATTCCTGGTACAGGCATTGGAGCATGTGATTAAGGGCTGGCTCTTAAGTCAGGCCTCCACCTAAGCCCTGCTCCACTAAGATGGCTGTGTGACCTTGGCCAAGGAGCTTCACCTCTCTGTGCTTCTGTTTCCTCATTGTTAACTCAGAACAACAGCTGTACCCGCTTCCCCGGATGTTGTGAGGAATCAGTAGCTATGCACCTGACACATGACACACCACAAAGAAATAGCTATTATTATCCCAACTGTGTTTGAAGTGTCCTCTCTTTCCACCAACACACGATGGCCATTTGCTGGGGGCAAAGTGTTCTGGGCAGCCTGTCTCCCTGCAGGATAGTCCAGGCCTTCCGGTACCTGCACTGCCGCCACCACAAGGCTAGAGGCGCTGCGTGTACATGTCCAGGCACTCCCTGACCCCAGTCAGTGCAGCTGAAGCTGCTCGATACCACAAAACCATTACCAGGGGTGTTGATTCTATTTTGTCCCAAGATAAATGAAAACATTCTAATCATGGGAAATGCTATCATGCAGCAAATAAATTTATGGCTTTTGGAGTAAGACAGTGCAGGCTCCAATCCTGGCTGCTTGACTTTGGACATACATTTCCAATCTCTGAACCCCAGTTCCCTCAACAATAGGCTGCAAATGATAAGGGATGACTTATCCATTATTCATTACTCTGATTTCATTTTGGTGTTGGACTAACCAGTTCTTTCCTGCTTGGAACCACGATTTCATTCCCTGCCTTTCTGAGTAGGGCATGTGACTAGGGTTAAGCCAATCAAGGGCATTCCATCACTTGGGCACAGGGATTGGTCCACAAAGGTCACGTGACCCACGCCAGTCCAATAGAATGGAATCCCCAGATTGTTACTGAAACTAGTCTCAAACCACCTCTTGAAGTATTGTCCTGCAGCTGTGTAAGAGCAGCTACTTCAAAACTATCCCACTCCCAAATGAGATTGGTTGTCTATAATGGAGCTGCCCCAGAGGAGAGAGGGCCAAGAGAAGTCATAGTATGGTGCAGAATTTTTGAGTCCACGCAGGAAGCCAGTTGTGGTTTTCCATGCTCGTTTCAGTTGAGTATTCTGTCTCTTTCACCTAAAACCATCATGCCTGCAAAAACAATAAAAGTTGAATATCCTTCATCCAACATGCTTGGGACCAAGAAGTGTTTCAGATTTGGGATATTTTCATATACTTTACCAGTTAAGCATCTCTCCTTTCAAAACCCAAAGCTTTTTGAGTTCCATGTCAGCGTTCAAGAAGCTTCACAATTTGGAGCATTTCAGGTAGAGATACTCAATGTGCAGTACCTGCTCCCACCCCAAACTGTTATAAGGATTTGCTAAAGGAAACATATATAGCCCTGGATATAGTATTTGGAATAATATAGGTCTTAATAAGTGGTAGTTATTTATATTGTTGCTGTAAATTTATCTGTAGAGAAATTAGAAACTGTAGACAAAGCAAAGAGATAGGAAAAATGCACATTATTGTTAATATGACCTTTTAAGGGTATGTAAATTTTTTTTGAGACAGGGTCTCACTATGTAGTTCAGGCTGCCTTCAAGTTGCTATGTAGCCTACGCTGGCCTCGAACTCACAGCGATCCTTCTGCCTCAGCATCCTGAGTGCTGGGATTATAGGTGTGAGCTACCATGCCTGGCTGAGGGTAGGTAAATATTTTGAAATACTTTCTTCCAGACACTATGTGTATATGTGTGTGTGTATATATATATATATATAGTGTATATATATAATATGTATATGTAATTTGTGTATATATTATATACATTTATACAAATAAAGTGGGAATGGGTAAAGAAAATGTGGCATTCACACACAATGGAATACTACTGTGCCATAAAGAAAGATAAACTTGAGTTATTTGTAGGAAAATGGGTACACCTTGAAACCATCATGTTAAGTGAAATAAGTCAGACACACAAGCTTAAATATTGTATGGCTTCCTGTTATACAAGAACCCAAATTATAAATAAAGAGCAAAATAAAAGGTAATAGGAAGTAAGGAGCCAGATCTTTCTCAAATGGGAACGGATCAATAGATGGAGGGAGGAAAGGAAAGGGAAGGAAGGAGGATGAGACAAGGCGTGGAAATGTGTTATGCACATGTTCTCATTCCATGCAGGGAGCGGAAACATTACATTCTGCAAACGTGTACTAATAACAATAAAAATAAAAAATAAAATCAAAATGGGATCATCCTGGTTTTTTAAAAATCTATTTCATTTGGACATAAATAAAAACACAAACGTGTATATGCTCAGCAGTCATTTTTAACAGCTGTGTGACATTCACGTTTTTGTTGGCTATTCAGAGGATTGCCAAGCTTTTTGTACAAGTGATGTGATGACATCCTGCGTCATCAGTCAATAGACCGAACTACATCTTTGTGCATTGCATAATTGTCTACCTGTCCCTCAGGGTAGGATCACACAATCTAAAACTTTTAAAGATCAAAACTAAAAAACCCTTCCACTGTAATTTAATCATTGGAGTGTTTAATTTTTGAATATAATGTATTATTAAGGGTTTAAAAGTCTTTGCCAGAAGGCAGGGAGCCCAGTTCTGTGGGCTCCAGATCTTGTCCTACCTGATTCTTTCTCAGCTCTGAGATCATGAATCTTGATGCACGTCCAGTAGGGGAGGGACTGGAGGGACTGTGGTCACCAAAACTTAGACATCAACAAGCTGTTGGACCGAAAACTGGATATTGTGAGCTTTAGCCTCAGGAAGGGTCCCATCCTTCTTTCTGGGGTTTTCCTGGAGGAACACCCCCCCACACACACACACACTCAGGGTGTCCAACATACACCCACAGGTAAGTCCTAGTTACCATTTTATTTTGAAAGAAAAAAATAAAATTTCATCTGTTTGCATATGACATGATCATTATGCAGAACATCCAATGTAATCTCCAAAAAAGCTACAAGAAATAACAAGTCTGGTAAAGTTGCAAGATATAAAACATCCAAAATATAAAATCCTAGCAGCTAACCTTTATAAATTCAGAGTTTTTTTCTTTTATTTATTTTTTGGGCAGTATTGAGGATTGAGTCTCGTGCATGCCAGGCAAGTGCTCTACCATCGAGCTACATCCCAAGCCCTAGCCCTTTTTTGTTTTATTTTGAGATAGGACTTTGTTACATTGCCCAGGCTGGCCTTGAACTGTGGGATCCTCCTGCCTCAGTCTCTTGGGTACCTGGGATTACAGGTGTGCACACCAAACCTAGTTATAAATTAACCTTTCTTTTTTTTATATATGGTCTCTCTATGTAGTCCAGGCTGGCCTTGAACTCATGGCAATCCTCCTGCATCAGCCTTCTGAGGGCTGGGATTATAGGTATGTGCCAACAGGCCCAGATAAATTAAACATTTTGAACAGTGTATCGAGGCCTCATTCACATAAACCCTGTGTCTTGGTTACTTTTCTCTCATTGCTGAAACAAAATACCCAACACCCAAAATTAAGGAAGGAAGAAAAGGTTTATTTAGCTCACAGTCTGTGGAGGTTTCAGTGCATACTCAGCTGGCTCCAAGGCAGAGTGGCACATGGCAGAGGGCAACCGTTCATGGCTACGGAAGACAGCAAAAGCAGCAAGAGCGAAATGGAGGAGCAAGCGGGAAGAGCAAGCCTCTTTCCCTTCCATACATATGCAAATTACCCCGCCCCAAGGCCGGTGTAGCACTTATACCCATAATCCCAGCATTGGACCATGGATCAAAAAAATCTAGAAGCCTGCCCCATGACTGCCTGAGGATTTGAGGGGCATGCAGACACAAACCATCACACCCTGCTTGCCATTTGACAATTCCTCCGTGCCCCTCACCATCTCTGCCATTGCTCTTGGAACAGAGCTGCCCACCTTGGCCAAGGACCCTATAGTTTTCTAGCTGCTTGGAGCCTCCTGGGGCCCTCTGGGGACAAACAAGGCTGCTTTGGTTGTGATTGCTGCCACCGACCCACATACACAGCTCCGCTGGGCTCACTGTCCAGCACAGCTGCTCTTCTCTGTGGACCCTTGGGGCTCCCATGACCTTGGAGGAGGTGAGGTCACTCCTCTGGCTGGTACTTGGTTAGGCGACTCCCCAGTGCCATTGCTTGGGCACACGGAGGATTAGAGTCCAGTGAAACAGGGCTCCCTTCTGCATACCCCCTTCTCCCCAGGGAACAGCCGCATTGTCCATGCTGGCATCAAGAATACCATCCGCCACCCAGAGCGGCCACACTGTACCACTGCCCTGGGGCCCTCAGCTGAGCCTGGCCTGACGTTCTGGCTCTCCTCCTCCCGAGGTGGAGTCTTTCTCAAGGACCCGCCGTCCCTCCCTGAAACCCTGCTCCTAGCTGGTGAAGCCCACCTGGGCTGGGCCTCACATCTGCCCCCAAGGGGCTGCCCAGTCTAAAGGCACAGGTCACTGCAGACCTCGGCTCGAGCAGCATGTCATTGCATGACCCAGATGCAGCCAGCAGCTCAGAGAGGCCCTTTCCTGCCCCAGGCCAGAATTTGAGCCCCTTTCTCTCTGCCCTCAAGTCTTGCTGTGTCTCCCAGGGCCAGCCTGAGTCCCAAGAGCTCTGGAAACCAGGTCTAAGCCACTCTGAATAATGGCGCTAGTGGGCAAAGGGGCGTGAGACGGTGAGCGGCTGCATGCCCTGCAAGGAGAACTTGTTGACTCTCCTGTCTGCAGTGCCAGATTCCGGTCCCTGCATGCCTGTCCCCAGGGCCACTGTGGGAACCTTCTCTCCTCACCCCTACCTGGCTTTCTGCCCCTTCTGAAGGCTGGATCACCTGCTTCCGCCCGGCCAGTGGTGCTGGGATGGGTCAGGTGGAGCGAGGCTACTTTGACTGGTAGCTGAGCTCAGGGGCCAGGGCCGGCCCCGCCCCCACCCCATCCAGCTGGCTCCAGAAGGAAGCGGGGGTGGGGGGGACTTCACAGGGAAACTTTTGTTCTTGCTTAGAACAGACACGGGCTGGGGACCGAGTTTCCCTTTGGCTGCCACAGAGACCAGGGCCACTTGAGTTCATGTTTATTTTCACAGCGTGGATTCCATGGAGATCGACAGGGAAGCTCTGGGAAGAGGGCTTTGGCCTCTGTGGAGCACCTACTATGTGCTGGGTCAAAGACAGACAGGAGCCAGCAGGACCTGCAAGACAGACACCCAGCCATGCTTGACAAAGGGGAAGGCAGCCAAGGCTCAGAGAGGGGAAGCTACTGTGTGCCCTAGGTCACACAGCAGTTAGCAGAGAGCCGCAGAGGAGGCCAGGGTTCTTTCTACCTTTCTCCTTGGGTTCTTTCTACCACGAGCCTGAGTGACAGGCAGAGGGACTCGGTGTCTCTGAGGCTTCATGGATGATGGGCTCCCTGGGGCTCCTCACAGTCCAGAGTCCTTGGAGCTGGGTGGACAAGTGTGTGGGCAGCTCTTCCAAGACACAGGCTCTGAGCAGGCGTGGTGGTGCTGGGCTGTAATCTCAGCACTTGGGAGGCTGAGGCAGGAGGATTGCTGAGTTTAAGAACAGCCTAGGCCGCATTGTGAGTTCAGGGCCAGCCTGAACTACATAGCTACACGTAAAGACCATGTCTAAATAAATACAGGCTCTATCCAAGGTGGAGCCTTGGCCAGGTGGTGTAATTGTCGGAGCCTCAGTATCCTTCTCTATGAAATGGGTCTAATCCAAGGCTACCTCCTCCTCCAGCAGGGTCTTTTGGAAAATTTGTCTCATCAGAGGGTCATGCAGTATGAGAAGGAGCCTGGCACGTGTGAAGAACTCAGTGACAGCCCCTGCGCAGGTTGTTATCATTCCTGGCCTTCTCTCTCCCCAGGCCTGAGCCCTCGGCCTCGCTGGGAGCCCGGGCATTCCCTCTGGGCTGTGTTGCTGCCGTGCTGAGTGGGAGCTATGAGTGCTGTGAAAGGAGAGCCCACTGCGGATTGTCCTGGGGACACACTGGGGGACTTGAGGGACCACCCCAGCCCAGCCTGGTGGGGACTGCCACCCCGCATGCTGCCGCCCCGTACGCTGAGGCCGGCCACCCTGGCCCAGGCTCTCCCCCCAAATCCGCTCCCTGTGCTCCTTATTTATGTCCTGTACTTATTTTTCCCATCCATTTATTTCACTGCTGAAATAGAGCTCGGAGCCCTGTTAGGCCCTGCTCACCAGGCAGGAGTGGCCGGGCCGGTGACCAGGAGGCCAGCATCCGACACAGGAGGATCCCAAGGAAACAGGCGGATCAAAAACCAAACATGGAACCAATAAAATCTTTAACCTGACACTACAAACTTCCCACAGACTTCAGAGAAATACCTCGAGAAGTGCACGACCTTTTCATCCCTCCCCACGGCCACCTCCTCCTCCAGCCGGGCCTTTGGAAAATACAGATTTGACCTTGCCGCTTCCCGCCTGCGAAACCCTTCCATAGCCCCCCTGTATTTATTATTCTTATTTGCTAACATTTACTGAGGTCCCCTGGTCAGAGCCGGCCCTGTGCTTTGGGTGCCTTGGGTGCATCTGTCCCCATGGGGCAGGGACTGTTGCCGTCCCTCTCTCGGGGACAGGGAGCTAGCCATGTGGGGGCACCATGCAGGGTCACGCAGCTGGTGAGCGGGGCGCAAACCCAAGTCAGTCTGAATCCAGAGCCCGCACTACCTTCCGCCTCCCTGCTGCCCTGGAGGATTCCTCAGCCGGCCCCTGGGGACCTCTGTGACCTGGCATTGAGGCCCTCCGCCTCTTGTCACCCTGCTCTCTGGGCGACCCTTGCTACTCATTACTTGTGTCCCTCGGTCCTCCTGTCACTGAGCAGAACAGCACTGCTACAGCCTCCGCATCGCCACCGTGGCACCCTCTGCAGTAACCCCGCCGTCCCGCGGCCGCGCACCAGCGGTTCAAGTCTCCTGTTTTGAAACAAAACCCTCCTTTGCACCCGAGCCTCCTGCTAGCTCCCATCTTCCAGGATACTCTCCATTTCCTTCCTAGCTTTTAAAGAGCCACGTATGGCCTGTCCCCCATCCTTCCCACCACTGCCCCCCCCACCGCAGCTCTGTTCCACCCTCCCCTGCACCCTTTGGATCTCATCTCCTGGCTGGGTTTTCCCTTTCCCCTCAGCCTTGCTGTGCCTTGTGCGCGGCCTTCTCTGGCAGCGCTATGGGTCCCTCCCTTTGTGGTACTGGGAATCGAACCCAGGGCCTTCCCACTGAGCTACATCTCCAGCCCTTTTTATTTATATTCTGAGACAAGTTCTCAGTAAATGATTCAGGCTGGGCTGTAATCCCAGCACTTGGGAGGCTGAGGCAGGAGGATCGCTGTGAGTTTGAGGCCAGCCTGACCTCCATAGTGAGACCCTGTCTCAAACCCCTCCCCTCAAAATCAATAAGTTACCCAGCCTGGGCTCAAATTTGCAATCATCTTGCCTCAGCTTCCCAGAGTGCTGGGCTTACCAGGTATGCACCTGGCTGGACATCTCTTTCTTTCTTGCATGTCCCTGATACGGGTGTGCCTGGGTTTCAGTCCAGCCCCATGGTTGTCCCGCACAGCCCATGCCCCTGGGGACCTCAGCATCCTCCACCACCACCAGAGGGATGTCCAAGCCGGCTCCCTGGCTCCGGCTTCTCCTCTGACCTGCTTGGCCAGTCATTTCCTGGTGTCCTCACTGCAGCAGCCTGGGCCTGGTGAAACTCCTCCCTCATTCCTCTGGGGCCACACAGCTCCTCAGCAGGCAGCGCTGTCAGACCCAGCCAGCCATGACGCCCAAGCATCCTGTGGACTCCCTCTCCTCTGTCTTCCACCACTTCTTTGCAGAGTGGGTTCTAGGTTCTGTCCATTCTATCTTGTTTGTTTTTTTGGTTTGTTTTGAGACAAGGTCTTGCTATGTAGCCCAGGCTGGCTTTGAACTTTTGGTGATCCTCCTGCCTCAGCTTCCTGATTGCTGGGATCACAGGTATGAGCCACTATATCCCGCTTCTGTCCCTTTTACCCTGTGCATATCCTGGGGTCACTTGTCCCCAGCATCCCTGGAGTCACCACTTTCTGTCCAGCCATCTAATTCTGCTCTGACACTGGCCTCGCACCTATAGCCTTCCCTCTCCCACTTGGCTTCCTGTGTGATCTCCCTCAAAGGTCCCTCTCCCTCCATGGCTCCCATGGCTCCCCCAGTAAAATCTGCCTGAGCTGCCCCCATCAACCCAGTCCTGCTTCTGCCTTATGAGATCCCATATCCGCTCATCACTCTCTCGCCAGTCTCTTGTCCCTGGATATGTCAGTGACTGGTGTGTTGGTACCCAACCCTTCTGGGCCCCTTTCCCCTCTGCGTAGGTACTCATCCCCTCTGGCCCTCCCTGCAAACTGCCGTCCGACCCAAGCTTCCACTTAAGTGCTAACTCCTTCCAGTTCCCCTCTCCCTGGGTCCTCCTGGAGCTTGAACAGACCTCTCTCAAGGCGAGTATCATCTTGTTACATCTCCCCATCCCCCGAACACCCACTGAACTGGAATTTTCTCCAAAGGACTCTGAGAGGTTCTAATTCTGGGTCCTCATGCTCAACCCAGCGCCTGGCTTGGAAGAAGCGCTCTATAAACATTGCTGGATTGCCTTCAGTTTAGGAAAGAGAAACACAAAAAGGGGACTGCAAGTTTGGAGGGTCACCTGGGTGCGGCCAGGAGGGCTTCCAGGCTCATCCCAGGACATGGAGGGTCCTGGAGCCTCAGGGGTAGGACCGGGCCTCTAGCTTTCCTCTCTGCCTAAGGCTTTGGGGTGCCAGACAAACCTGACTTTAACTCTGAGCTCTGCTTCCCAGCTGGGTAACTTTGGGGGAGCCCCTTCCTTCCCTGAGTCTCCTTTATGCTCTTGAACATGGGGATGGTGACTTCCACTGGGCTGGGCTGAATGCATTCAGGAAAATAATTTCGGTGGAATGTCTGGGCTAGCACTGGGCACCTGGAGGGCGCTCAGGAACTACCTGTGGTTCACCCCTTAGCCTTTTAGGACACCTGGCTGGCCAGAGGGTAATGATCAGTCCTTGTGCCAGGCACTATGCTGAGTGCCCTACCTAGATAATCCTGTGCCATCCTCTCATTTGCCAATGAGGAAGCAGGTTCAGAGAGGTCAGGCTACTTGCCCAAGGTCATACATCCAGTGCATGAGCTGGGATCTGAAATCAGGCCAAGCTCTTATCTGCTGGCCTGGCCTGGCTATCCTTCCCAAGCTCACCTATGCTTCCTCAAGGGCTCCGTGTCCCCACCGCGGCCCAACTCCATGCCCGCAGGCTTCCCCGATCCCCCTCCTCTCTCTGCCCACCGCTAGATCTGTGTAAACTAGCCGAGCAGGGTGAGGTGGGGAGGCCACCGAGAAGGTACGGAGAT